ATTTTATAATACTTTGATTATTTTCAGTTTTATCCTTTCAAGTTTTTTTCTGTTTTGCTCATTTCTCTCCTGCTTTATACCTGCATTTTCAGGTTCAAATGCTGAAGTACAGTCAACCCCCATCTAATGGACTTGATTCGTGCAAGGGACAAGTCTGTTAGATGAAAAGTCCTTTACACAAATTCAATTACATAAAAAATTAAAAATTTCAATTTTCAACACTAATTTTAAACCAAAAGAAGTCTGTTTGGCGGATTTTGTCTGTTGGGCGGGAGGGAAAACTGCTTGCAGAGCTGGTCTGTTTGGCGAAAATCCCTTACACGGGAGGTCTGTTAGGCGGGGGCCACTGTACTGTACTGTACAGTATATAGATCCCATCACATCAGGTGGACTTGCTTCAAATACATTCAGGGGACCAGATAAAAATTTGTTTTACAAGGAAAATTGTTGCAAACAAGATTATTGTTGAGGGATTCTACTCTTATTCATTGTGTTTACAATAGTTGTTGATTTTTACCAAAGAAAATAATTTGTGAACCTCATTAATTTTATTGTATCTCACTGGAGAGGGAAGCCCTTCTATAACTAATCTGAAGATAAAGCCTTCAATAAAATTGAATTCAATTGGTTTTCAATTATTTTCTTCATTGAACTTCTACACTCATTTGAGAATGGGACTACTATTTTTCAATGCTGTTTTTATGCAAGTTTGGGTCACTGAAATGATGGATTCACGTCCTGTATGTGGGAAATGACTTCATTACATTTTATCATGAGAATTCTGGCTTGTGTAGTACATGATTGAATATGATGTACGCACAAGAATGCACGAGATAAGGTCAGAGAAAAAGGCTGACACATCATCAGCCATTTCATGAATTGCATGCGCATTATCTCTCAGCATGAGACAAACCAATGCATTTACCCCCAGGGTGTGAATATTCTACAAGCAAAAAGAACCACACCTTAGCAACATTCCCTTTTCTTCTCTAAACTACTGTATAGTATTGAGTCCCCACATAACAAAACCAATGCTTAATGCATTACCCAGGATGATTTTTGTTATTCTGAAATATTTTCAATATAAGATGTGCTTTTCTCAAGAGATTAAAAATTATATTTGATTTCAATGGTTCCAGCCAGACCACAATAAATTATGAAAGTTGTGTATTTTTGGGCAGGAAATTGTACAGTTAAAATTTCTTATAATGAAATTTAAAAATTATTCAAAGAGAGGTTTTCACCTTGATTTCATTATCAAAAAAGTGGATTTTACATTCTTAATATGCAAGTTTAAAGGGTTTTTTGAAAGCCCAAGTTTGCTTGAAGCAAGACCAGAAATCTCTCCTGCTCATAAATTTCTGAATTCTTGCAATTGTCAAGAAAAAATAGAATGTAAATCTATGCGATTCCTTTGTCTTTCTTCTTGATTTTTCAAAAATTCTTAAGTTGAAAGCTAATGAAGATTTTCAGATTTTTTGGACCAATCATATTTTTTCATATGAAATAATTTCATAATGTGAGTCATATGTTTTCCCCTTATAAAATTTTTTTGCGGTTCAGATTTTTTTTTTC